CTTTATATCTTGGTCTTTCTCTTGCTCTGCTTCAATATCTATAGTTGGTTCTACTTCACCATCATAAATTCCTTCAGTCACTTTGACTTCAACTTGATGGCACCTGGTTAGTTCAACCTCTATTTTGCACCAATGTCTGCAGTCATTTTTGCAGGTTCTTCCATGAGATTTTCCTTCTCTATATTCAGTATCACAATTATACTGGTCTATCGTTCCGATCCAACATGCCTGTTGTCCCTCTGGGTTCTTTAATGATCTTAACCAGCGTAATGCAGCATGGTCTGTCCTGATGGTAAACCTTGCACCATAGAGATAAGGATGGAAATATGTCAGACTCTTTACTATAGCAAGGAGTTCCCTCCATGTTGCACAGTAGTTCCTTTCTGATCAACTCAGGACCCTACTGAAGTAGGCCACCACATGTTTGTTTTTGCCCACTTTCTGAGACAACACTCCTCCAATTCCGACATTACTAGCATCTTAATCCAGTATGTATGGCAGTGAGGGATTTGGAAGTTTTAAAAGTGGAGCTGAGGCCAATTTTTCTTTCAATGTCTTAAAAGCATGCTGGCAAGAAACTGTCCATTCGAACTTCTGGCCTTTTTTCGTCAAATTATGTAGTGGAGCAGCTATAGTTGCAAAGTCCTTCACAAACTTTCGGTAATAGGTCTCCCATGTTGTCTGGTGTTGGCCAATCATGCACTGCTATCACCTTGTCAGGATCAGTTCGCACTCCATGCTCATTTACAATGTGACCCAAGTAAAGCACCTCTTTCTGGAACAAGTGGCATTCTTGGGATGGAGTTTGAGGTTTACTGCTTTCAAACACTTGAATACTTCCTCGTCAAATATTGCTGCAAATACAATGACATCATCCAGATACACAAGGGCTATCCTTCATTGTAGGCCTTCCAGTACTCTTTCCATCAGCCTCTCAAATGTTGCTGGAGCATTACTAAGCCCGAATCGCACAGTATTGCCAGAGACCTTGGGCATAACTAAATGCAGTATTAAGTTTATCTGCTTCAGCCATTTTCACTTGATGGAAACCCGGCTTTAAGTCCAGAGTTGAAAACCACCTGGCTCCACTTAGGGCATCAAGAGTATCATCAATTCTTGGCAGTGGGTGTGAGTCTTTTTCGGTTATACTGTTAAGAGCCCTGAAGTCCACAAAGCAACACTGAGTCCCATCCTCCTTATGGACTAACACGACGGGAGCTGACCAGGGACTATCTGATTTCTCGACTATTACTTCCTTAATTAGGCCATCCATGACCTTCTCCAACTCTTGTCACTTTGCCGTAGCTATTCTCCTCGGAGGGATTTTTATTGGATGGTGATTGCCTGTGTTTATTCTGTTCTCTACAATGTCTGTGCAGCCGAGGTCCTTTTGAAAACACATCTGCATAATTCGCCAAAAGTTCACTAACCTGAAGAGCCTGTGATGATGACAAATGGACTATGCTCTTCTCATAGAGGTCAGTTCTGGGAGAGGATGTCCTTTCTTTATGGTTGTATTTCTTGCCTTAACATTGACTATCTCTACCTCCTGGTACACACCCAACAATGCCCCTTCATTAAGTGTCTGCTCACATTTAGAGAAATTAGCCACTGTTATGAGTACTGCTTGATGACCTGGCACAAGTGACCTTCCAATCTTCATGTCTTCTGGTTTGGATGGGTCTTACACTGCTTCCACAAGCATCGGGCTTCCTTGGGGATGTTCTTTTATTCTACCCCGAAATTATCTTCTCTGACATAGGGGGTATTGTAGTTGAGTTAAGTGCTGTGACATGCAAATCAACAGAAGCAGCAACACTTAGCGGAATTTGGCTTTTGTTGTTCCAAAACGTCATTTTGTGAAAATTAACTACACACACATCTTCGGTAGTAAGTAGTTCAACCCTAGTATGCATTGGTCTTCAATGTCAGCCAAGTATACTTTGTGTCTGTCCTTCATGCCCATGAGCTCAATAGTTACCAACACCAGTCCCCACAACCTTGCATAATGTCCCGTCACACCACAGAGCTTCTTTATGGCTTTTGTCAATTTTCTATATCTTCAATCAATCCATCTCTGCCCTTGCGCTGGTTTTTCTCGCAAGGCTTATATACTAAAAAGAGGGGGCCTCGAACAAACTCGGGCCTCCCCGATAATTGATAATCCTTCCAGAAACTCCAGCGTGCATGCTCCCAGCGTCACGCGTCTTCCGCTGTCGTAGCAATATGTATATATTTTTCATATTACTACTACTAATTGTTTTTTATAAGCATAGCATCACCTGAGTAGTATTTCATGAGAAGATTTACAACATTTGCCCCTAAATATTCAAAATAACAGTGTGCAGCACAATACAGTTTAATCTGAAGAATCAAAAATAAAATTATACATATCCAATTACTTTACAGAGATTTATATTCCACATTTAACACTCAGTTATAATAATTGGACATACAGGAAAGTTATTTAAAAGGCAAACTGAATTGTTTACACTTAGTTATAAAATTGGAGTTACAAATAGCTATTCATAAGGAAAACTGAATTGTTTACACTTAATTATAACAACTGATATACTTAAATATAATTAAATACTTGTTGTCATCCACAGGAAAACTGAAATTTTTACACATATCCGTAATTCAGGTCAGAGTGAAAAGGAAGAACAGAAAAATTCAAGTTGATGAAGAGAGAGAGAACTTAAACAAAAAAAAGAAAAATTTACTTGCAGAAGTGATGGCAGTAGTTTCTCTATTTTCCAGAAACTTGGTGTTGACTTAAGTTTTAAATGATGAATATCCACTTTTTGCTTGTTAATTTGAGCATGAACAATGGTAATTGGATCAATGTGATTTTCTAATTCATGGTTTGGTTCTGCATGAGGATGGATCACAGTTTGCTGAGAAAGAAAAATACTGTTTAAAACTTTTACAGAAAGAGATCGGACACAAATATCTTATTGTTGCGTCAGCGAGGTCACGTGACTAGTATCACGCCACGTCCTTCTCTCGAACCTTCGGGAATTATCGGGAGACTACTAGATTGGGGGTAGTCTGGTATATATAAGATGGTCACAACGTGACGAGGTAATGAGTAATTGAACTGCAGTCAGAGAGAGTGTAATTGAACGGAGTATTGTCGAGCTCGTGAGACGTGAGTTATA